TATATATATATATATATACAGCAAAATTGTAGCATATAGTACAATCAAATGATGTGCAATATTTATATGGCAACATAATTTTTATAAGCTGCTTCTTTCGCAAACAGATAAATATATTTACATATTGTACGAGTTACATATATTGTGTAATTACATCTATATATATACATACATATATGTATAATTACTTGGTAATATAAAAGAAAGTGTCTATTTATTCTCTGCTCCCATACAATTTCAGACCAAAATTCACTGATACATGTTGCAGACTCAGGTACGATATAATGATGTTGGTGTGATGTGCAAATAGTTTTGTCAATCATTTTAAATTAGATTTGTGATAGTGTTTGTAGTGTAGCGAATATAATTTTTATAAAATCGGTTTAAAGAGTGAAAATATATAAAACTGTGCATGTATGACATGTATATAAAAAATCATGCTTCTTCATCCAGGATTTTGTCGCATGTTTTCATTGCATGTTTATTATTACTAATACTAAATCAGATCATATCGTCATACTGTGTGGAGGATTTGTTTCTTTAAATAAAAACATGTATATATAGGCGCAGTACATGCATAATATTGCTGTAATATTCTAGATGCCAGAAATCAACCTATTAGTTTTAATATCGTCAAAACTGAATCAGCCGATCGGATATCGCCGTTTAGAGGTCCGACGAGTACAAGTGCGGGCAATTTCGGTCTACAATCTGTAAGATCGTCTTCACAACCGCACAGTAGCATACAAGCTCTAAGGTATGTTGACAATTCAAATCAAGATTACAAAGTTGAAGCACAAATAAAAATAAGAACGTAGAAGAAAGACCAAATATTAATGTATTTATTTTATTTTAGGCCTCAGGTATCTCCAGGGCGAACACCGTCCCCTATGGAATATAGTACTTACAACCCGTCTCTTGTACAACAGCAATATCAACCAAACATTCAGCCAATATTGCCAAACATGTCTGCGACGACGAACGTACAGGCGTTTTCTTACGTAGATCAATTGCAATTACAACCAGAACCAAATCTGTTGATGTTAAACAGAGTAACGTCAGAAAATCAAGGAGAATCCCAGCCAGTGAATAATATTGGTAAGAATTTTTTTTTTAATATAGCGCAATTTTTTTGTGAAAATAATCTATACTTTGAGAATTTTAATTGATTGAACATTTTTATTCTATTACTGATATATGTATATATAAATCTTATAGAAACTGCAGGAGCCCCGTGCCTCTTAGACATGGATAGTCAACAATTCAATTTTGACTGGAATTCCGCTGATCTCGCGGATTTTGGGGCAAATCTCTCTGCAAATCTGTCGACTGGACTATCCATATCCGACTCTATACAAGTAAGTATTAGTATTTTAGACACACGCATAAATTAGCATATATATACAACACATTATGTATATTCACATAGCTAAATTTTGAAATTACTGCAAGAATTAATCATTTTACCAACTTTAGCCTGAAGTCGGGAGCAATGTCGAAGAAAGAAACAGTATGACCGAGCGCATTACTTGGATAAACCAAGAACTTTCCGCTTTGAATAAGATACTCAAACCTAATCGAGAAAATGATGGCTGAGAACTTGATTAAAATTGCTTATTATCAATTAATATTGTGGCTTATGCCGAAGTGATCATAAGAAATTGCAACTGGTCTCATCTGTAATTGATTACAAGTGCTCTCTCCACTGCCATATAAAAAAAAAAAGAAGAAATTAATCGAGCTATTTTTCGCAATAGATAATAAAATATTTCACGTATAAAAATAACAACAAAATATGCAAGGAAACGATAATTTTGCACTTTGATCATTTCTACTCGCAATCTGTATTTTATTAATATATACTCGATTTATTTTTTATTGATAAAAAGTATGTAGAAAGAAGTTGACGATAATGAACAAAAAAGAAGCTTCATTTATTTTCTAGCTAGGTGTTATTAATACACGATTTATACTCATCGATGAATATTAGTTTAAACAGCAACATTATATGTATGGTATCTTAATATTTAGCTGTTTGTGATACGACTTATCTGATAGTTACACAATGAGCATTGGAGCAATTATCTACTCAAGATAAGTTGTTCGGTCGGTCATGTGTGTATGAAACTAATATTGGTGGGAGATGTAACATTTGTTTGTCGACATCACAGATTGAGATGGTAATTTAATTTGAGATAATGCTCGGATTTATGATCAAAGTTCATAGTTTATATTTTTAATAATAGATTCTACGATACTCTTGACGAAAAAATGAATTCCACGCAACAAGCAAGAGAAATTGTTGAGATGAATTCTTCATGAGACAAGTTTATAGGCAATAATTGTAAATTATTAAATTAGATGAATATTTGTGTGAGCAATTTCTCTCACGTTTTTTTACGCTTGTACTATTTCACTTCACTTTTATTCCTTCTTTTTGCACAATTACGTTTTTACAAAACTACATTTATAGCTCTGTATATATTTGTAATATATATAATCGCGTTATATATTTAGAAATAATGTTGATGTACTCGAAAAAGCGTACAGTAAAAAGATATTGAAATCAATGTACTCAAAAATTTCAATGGATGTTCCGTCCAGATATTTCTTTTTATGTGTATATTTTGCAGTTTTTTATTTAAGAATAACATGTAGGGAA